ATTTTATAGAATTTAATAAGAATTTTAATTAATATTATGGGTTAAAGTTGGATAATTTTAATAAGTAGCAATAATAAAAATATAAAATTTCGGACTAGTTTTCATGTAATTTTTATGGATTTTACAAAAATTCCATGGAAATCCACAAGAATTCCATGTAATATGGCAAAAAAAAAATTTTGCCGCTCACGCGGCAATTAATATTTTAACAAAGTACTTTAAAACATAAGTTACACAATATAAATAAATAAATTTCAAAATTTCGGACTATTGTTGTTTATAGGTGACAGCCACCATATATATACTTTATTGATATTAAGTTTATATACCATATAAACAAATTATCATGAGCTATATCCACCCAATAGGATGCGATCATCAAAGTAAATATATAAAATTGTTCTGTATTGTTTACAGTATTATTCAATAAAAATATAATTAAACTATTTAAAACTTAAAAAATTTATTTTATTTCTATTGTCTTTTTACTACAAAGTGAAATGTTTTATATTTTTAAAGTTAAAATGTTGCACAAGATCAACTAATCAAAATTTAGACGTGATGAAAATAGAAACGTAGCTATTATTAATAATTGAATCATTTGAACCATTGAAATAAAACTTTTCCAAGAGATATAGAGGCTTTAGTGAAAAAAACACAGATCATTGCTGGTAAAAAATTGATAAATATCGGTAAAAGTTTGGATAGTAATATCCCTATGATTATTAAAAACATATAAAAATAATATAATAATAATCAATATTGCCCCATCGTAATTTATTTAAGAACGTGAAAATCTCAGTGATAAAAATCAGCGAATTCAACACTAATGAAAAATATTTTAGTTTTTCTTCGTCATTTTTATATTCAGTTGAAGCAAGAATAATAAGTACAAATAGGACAGTCACAGCAAACTAGTTTCTGACTAATGTTCTAACGAAAAAGGTATGTTAAGAAATGTCGAAGGCGATAAAATAGTTTTAGTAAATATTCTAATAAACTAAATATGTTTCTTTTAGTTAACATACCGATTTTTCTCACCAAGATTTTTCTTTATCAACGAGTGCTTGAACATATGAAATTTTTGAATTATCGTCTGAAAGGGCGTTAAATCATCTTCTTTCTTGTGCTACAAATTTTAACTATTTGTCAACTGTTTTTCATATAATTTTTCTTGTTTTTCTGTTTGCCATATTTGATACTTCAAAAGATAAAATAATAATAGCATCTTTTTAGCGATGGCCATTACATGAAATGCTTTTGTTCCTTCTTCATCAAAATTAAGTCGAATGGCGATATTAACAGCCATTTTAGTTGATGTTAATAGTTAGAGAGTTGAGAGATGAATAGAATTTTTAAGAGTTGAGAGACGAATAAAATTTGAGACAAGATGATGTATTTATGTATAAATATAATCAGAGAGTCACATGATGTGAACAAAGTTAGTAAAATTTGTATTTTTATGATTTATTTATGTTTATTTATGTAAACTCAAATGGAGTTTTTTGTTCTCTAATTGTTTATC